TCATCATCATCACCATCTTCGTTTTCAGAAAATTTCATCATTTCATTTTCATTATCATTGTTGTTGTTGGTGGTTTCAGAATTGCTATTGTTTTTTGTCTTTTGATCGGGTCTTGGTGATGGCGATGATGATGATGAATTTGACCGTGGTGACGATGATGATCGTTCGGATTTTATTTGCCGACCGAAAACCTGACTTAAAGCAAGATTTAAATTTTCCAATTCCGCTGTTGATTCAGAAGTTTTCATTCCTGCTTGTTGATAAAATGAATTCAATAATGCTGGTGATAAAAATGATGAATTTGTCGTCGATGTTGTCGATTTAGTGGTCGTTGTTGTTGTTGTTGTTTCGCTTGTCGTTGTTGTTGTCGATTGATGATTTGATGATGGTGATAATTGTGGCTGCGTTGGTGGTGAATCACTGATATTATCATCATTATCAACAAAAATTCCATGAATATTTTGTCGATGTATTTGTAGAAAATATTTACTACAAAATTCTTTCATACAAATATTACAAAATATTTCGGATTTTTGTTCAAGTTCACTTTGTTCACTTTGTTCACGTTGTTCATCATCAACAACACTGTCAATTGGATATTTTTCCCGTTGTTCAAATGATTTCAATGATGGTGATGTTTGATGATAATCAATAAATTGTTGTAAAAATGTTGTTTCATCAACACCACCTAAACCACTAACACTACTACCTAAACCATGTTCAGTAATAATATGTGCACGAAATACATATTGATTATTACATTGAAATTTACATAATTTACATTTTTGTTGTTGTTGTTGTCGTTCACGTTGTTGTTGTTGTTGATCACTTAACATCATTTCACAATCATCATTAACACTTTTATCAATCAATTGTTCATTTGAATCATCCAATTCTTTTATCATTGAATGTAGTTTTTCTAAATCATTTTCATTTGTTTGATGTTTTTGGTGATGTTTTTGTTGTTGATGATCATTAAGGGTTAATGATTCTGAATTTTTCCGGTGATTTTTTATTTGTTTCTCATCACCATCATTCGAATCATTCGAATCAACATCATCATCATCCACACATTCAGTAATATCAGATTCAACAAGAATTGCTTTTTCTTCTTCCTC